CGCCCCAGTGCTCCGCAAACCCCCTGTAACCCCCCCAAACCCCCGCAGTGCTCCCCAAACCCCTGTAATCCCCCCCAAGCCCCCTTGCTCACGCTCCAGTCCCACTGCAGCAGCTGCAAGCGGGGCGGCAGGCGGCAGCTCCAGGCCAGCAGCACCAGCGCAGCGAACACCAGCTCCACCACTGCCAGCCCCAGGTAGCCCGAGGGCGACACCCCGAAGCACACCAGGGTCAGCAGGCACAGGACCTGTGCGACAGGGACCTATGGGATCCATACGGGATCCGCCCGCTGCTCCTCTGAGCCCCACAGAGACCCCCTGTGTGCCCCATTATACACACAGCCCTTATGGGGTGTGTGCTGTGTGCCCTATAGGTGTGTGTGTGTGAGCTGCAGCCAGGCTCCCTAAAGGAACGTAAAGGGACAGCAGGGACCCTCTGGTGCCTTCAGAGACCCCTATAGCGCTGCATACAAACCCCGTGTATGACTGCCAGGGGAATGCCTGTAGGGAATCCCCTATAGGGATCCTGAGCGCTATCCTGTAGGGCCCTACAGCTTCTGGGCTGTCACCTACAGACTCTTAGAGCACCTCTTTGGTACCACTGTGGGGTCACCTATAGATGTCCTGTACTGCCAAAAGGGTGCTGTGGGGTCACCTATAGATCCCCCCCCATAGCACCCCCTATAGGCCGCTGTGGGGTCACCTATAGATCCTGGGGGTCTCTGAGGGGGTTTGGGGAGCCCTGGGAGAGCCTCTGGGGGGGACCCAGAGGGGCCGGGGCGGGCTGTGGGGGTCCCGGGGCCGTTTGCCGGGGCCGCTCTCGGTTCTGGGGTGACTCAGCGGATGTGGGCAGAGCCCCGCCCGCCGGATGCGGGACGGGAAGGAACGGGGGGGGTCCTTGTGGGAAATGGGAGCCACCGGCGGGTCCCCACCTTTATTAAGCACCCCGAAATGGGGAGGGGGGCCATTGCATAGCTTGAAAGGAGCGCACCCGACTGGCCCCCCCCGCGCTGGGGGCCCCTCAAAGCACCAAAACCGGGGTGCGGGGGGGGGGCGAACCTCGCTGTGCCGCCACCTTCCGTGAGCGCGGCCGGGCGGGGGGCTCAGGGGTGCAGCCCCCCCACCAGGCAGAAGCAGGGCTCCCCCCGCGGGGAGCTGCCCACGCGCAGCCGCAGCACCCCCCGCGCCAGCGGGGCCGGGGGATCCCCCAGCCCCACAGAGCCCCCAGCCCATAACCCCCCAGCCCCCCGCCCCGTACCTGGATGCAGCCGCAGCGCTGGGCCGGGCCCCCCTCGCGCAGCCCCCGCACGAAGACCCCGGCGGGGCCCCCCCGGAGGCTGAACCCGAACCCGCCCGGGCCCCGCGGCAGCTCCACCGCGAACGGGGGGGAGTCCTGGGGGTTGCACACCAGTATGGACCAGTATAGACCGGTATAAACCGGTATACACCAGTATGAGCCAGTATACACCGGTATAAACCAGTAACACACCAGTATAATTGATTTGTCCAGCTGTGTTTTGGGGGGGGTCCCTGGATGTCCCAGTGCCTCGGGGGGGCTCTGGGGTGTCCCTTAGGGCTGTTCCCACCCTGTCCCGGTGGCTCTGGGGGTCCTGCCCTGTCCCCAGTGACCCGGGGCCCCGCGGGGATTTTGGGGTGCCCTGGGGGGGGTCTCACCGTGGGGGCGGCGCAGCAGCAGGCGCAGGCGGCTGCCCCCCCCCCGGATCCGGGCCAGCGCCTGCGCGTGGCTCATGCCGGCCGTGGGGGCCCCGTTGATGGCCAGGAGCTCGTCACTACCAGTATAAACCAGTAACACACCAGTATAAACCAGTAACACACCAGTATAAACCAGTAACACACCAGTATAAACCAGTAACACACCAGTATAAACCAGTAAAACACAGTAACCCGCCTGGGCTTGCCGGGGGGGCGGTCCTGGGACCAGTATAAACCAGTTCCACACCAGTAACACCAGTTCCACACCAGTTACACCAGTATCGGCAGTTACAGACCAGTTACACCAGCTGCACACCAGTTATCCCAGTTACACACCAGTTACACACCAGTAATGCCAGTACCAGCAGTTATACACCAGTTATCCCAGTTACACCAGTTACACACCAGTTATCCCAGTTACACACCAGTTACACACCAGTTATTCCAGTTAAACAAACAGCAGTTCCACACCAGTAACACCAGTTGCACACCAGTTATACCAGTTACACCCCACTTCCACACCAGTTACACCAGTTGCACACCAGTTATTCCAGTTACACATCAGTTACACACCAGTAACACCAGTTACACACCAGTAATGCCAGTACCAGCAGTTATACACCAGTTATCCCAGTTACACCAGTTGCACACCAGTTATCTCAGTTAAACACGTATACACCAGTTACACACCAGTTACATACCAGTAACACCAGTTACACACCAGTAATCCCAGTTAAACACCAGTTACACACCGGTATACACCAGTTACACACCAGTTACATACCAGTAACACCAGTTAAACACCAGTTACACACCAGTTATCCCAGTTACATACCAGTAACACCAGTTACACACCAGTTATCCCATTAAAACACCAGTTACACACCAGTTACACACCGTTTACACACCTGCATTACCAGTATACACCAGTACACCCCAGTACACACCAGTAAATCCCCAGGGCCATGAGGCAGCTGCATACCTGCCCTCCCCATCCCCTCCCAGTGCCCCCAGCTCCCTCCCAGTCCCCCCCCAGTGCCCCCAGTTCCCTCCCAGTGCTCCCCATCCCCTCCCATGCTCCCAGTGCCCTCCCAGTAACTTCCCAGTGCTCCCAGCATCATTGCACTGCTCCCAGTAACCCCCGAGTGCCCCCCAGTGTTCCCAGTAACTCCCAGTGCTCCCCAGATCCTCTCCCAGTGCCCCCCAGCTCTCCCAGTGTCCTGCCGCCCCCTCCCAGTGCTCCCAGTCCAGCCACACCATCCCAGTACCCCACCGCCAGTGCCCCCCAGTGCCCCAGCACTCCCAGTATCCCCTGGCACTCCCAGTATGCCCCCAGTGCCCCCCAGTGTCCCCCGTCCCCCCCAGTTCCCCCCAGGGCCCCCCTGGGGATCCCCGAACCCCCCCCGGGCCCCCCCAGCCTCGCCCACCCCCCGTGTGCCGCAGACCCCCCAGGACTACGAGGCCGTGCCCGTGGGGCAGTTCGGGCTGGCCATGCTGCGGGGGATGGGCTGGAGCCAGGGCCAGGGCATCGGCCGCACCTTCCCCAGGTGAGCCGGGACCCCCCAGATGGGCACCCCCAAAGGGGCACCCCCAAAGGGGCACCCCAAAATGGGCACCCCCAAAGGGGCATCCCAAAATGGACACCCCAAAATGGGCACCCCCAAACGGGCACCCCCAAACGGGCACCCAAAATGGGCACCCCCAAAGGGGCACCCCCAAATGGGCACCCCAAACGGGCACCCCCAAACGGGCACCCCAAATGGGCACCCCCAAATTGGCACCCCAAAATGGGCACCCCAAAACGGGCACCCCCAAATGGGCACCCCCAAATGGGCACCCCAAAACGGGCACCCCATATGGGCATCCCCAAACTGGCACCCCAAATGGGCACCCCCAAATTGGCACCGCAAAATGTGCACCCCAAAACAGGCACCCCTGAGCCCCCAGGGGAGTGAGGGACCCCCACGGGCACCCCAAAATGGGCACCCCAAAATGGGCACCCCGAACCCCCAGGTGACCCAGGGACCCCCACGGGCACCCCCAAATGGGCAGCCCTGAACCCCCAGGGGAGTGAGGGACCCAAACGGGCACCCCCAAAAGTGGGCTCCCCTGAGCCCCCTGAGCCGGGGGGACTGGTGAGGGGACACCTGTCCTGGGTGGATTTTGGGGTCCCCTCACCCCTTTCCTCCCCTGGGTGGGTTTTGGGGTCCCCTGACCCCTAGGGCTGGTTTTGGGGACTCCCCCCAGGGTGGATTTTGGGGTCCCCTGACACCCCCAGGTGGATTTTGGGTCTCGTCACCCCCAGTGTATTTTGGGATCCCCTGCTGTATTTTGGGGTGCCCTGACCCCGTGTTGCCCCCCAGGGTGTATTCTGGGGTCCCCTGGTGTATTGTGGGGTCCCCGGTGTGTTTTGGGGTGCCCTGACCGTGTCCCCCCCAGGGTGGTGCCCCCCCTGGAGCACCGGCCGCGCCCGCGGGGGCTGGGGCTGGGGGCCGAGGCCGCCCCCCCCGGCGCCCCCCGGCCCGGGGAGCCCCCCCAGGGCCCGGCCGTGGGAGACGCCGTGAGCATCGAGGCCGGGCCCCACCGCGGCCTGCAGGGCAAGGTGAGAGCAGCTCTGACCGGTATGGACCAGTACGGACCAGTACGGACCGGTATAGACCAGGACAGACCAGTATAAACCAGTACTGACCAGTATAAACCAGTACACACCAGTATAGATCCCGTGAGCATCAAGGCCGGGCCCCGCCGCGGCCTGCAGGGCAAGGTGAGAGCTGAGCGCACCAGTATAGACCAGTACGGACCAGTACAGACCAGTACAGACCGGTATAAACCAGTACAGACCAGTTCGGACCAGTACAGACCAGTACAGATCAGTACAGACCGGTATAAACCAGTACAGACCAGTACAGACAGTACAGCTTTGCAGGGCGGCAGTGCGGCTGCTGACACACCCCCAGTGCTCCCAGTATGGCACTGGGGAGAACTGGGGTGGGCATTGGGAGTAACTGGGGTAGAACTGGGCTGTGCTGGGGGTTACTGGGAGGGTAACTGGGCTTACTGGGAGGGTAACTGGGCTTACTGGGAGGCACTGGGAGGGTAACTGGAGTTACTGGGAGGTGACAGGAAAAGCTCTGGGTGTTACTGGGGGTAACTGGGAGCTAACGGATCTGACTGGTCTCTAACTGGTGTAGGTGTAACTGGTCTCTAACTTGTGTAACTGGTGTAACTGGTGTGACTGGTCTCTAACTGGTCTCTCACTGGTGTAATTGGTCTCTAACTGGTCTCACTGGTCTCTAACTGGTCTTTAACTGGTCTGACTGGTCTGTAACTGGTCTGTAACTGGTCTGTAATTGGTCTGTAACTGGTGTCACTGGTCTGATTGGTCTCTAACTGGTCTCTGACTGGTGTAACTGGTCTGACTGGTTTCTAACTGGTCCCTAACTGGTCTCACTGGTGTGACTGGTCCCTAAATGGTCTCACTGGTGTCACTGGTCTCTAACTGGTCTCTAACTGGTCTCTGGTTGGTGTCACTGGTGTGACTGGTCCCTAACTGGTCTGTAACTGGTGTCACTGGTGTAACTGGTCTCTAACTGGTCTCTGACTGGTGTGACTGGTCTGACTGGTTTCTAACTGGTCTCTAACTGGTCTGACTGGTGTCACTGGTGTGACTGGTCCCTAACTGGTCTGTAACTGGTTTCTAACTGGTCCCTAACTGGTCTGACTGGTGTCACTGGTGTGACTGGTCCCTAACTGGTCTCACTAGTGTAACTGGTCCCTAACTGGTCCCTGACTGGTCTGACTGGTGTCACTGGTGCAGGTGCAGGCGCTGGATCCCGAGACCGGGCGGGCGCTGCTGCGGCTGCAGCTGGGGGGGCAGGTGGTGGCCGTGCCCCTGCACGGAGTGCGGCCCCTGCCCGCGGGTGAGTGTCCCAGTACGGACCAGTAACCCCCAGTATGGACCAGTAACCCCAGTAACCTCCCAGTACTCCCAGTAATCTTCCAGGGTGTCCCAGTGCCTCCCAGTAACACATTGGAATACCCCAGTGACCTCCCCATCCCCTCCCAGTGCCCCCC